ACAGATCAATGCCCACAAGGGAACACGGAATGTTGTCACTTCAGATTTGGCTTCGCAACTGAACTCAAAATGCCTCTTTCATGACAGATGTTCTTAATTTCCCAACAACCCACCCCGGTGTGATTCAATTTTAACAGGGATACTTGCAAGATCAAGAAACACAGAAAAAAAAAAAAAAAAAACAAAAAAAACCCAAACCCAAACCAAAAAATGAACTTCTGCAAGTTTACTTTCATAGTGAGCAAGTTTAATAGATGATTCAAACCTCAACCGTTAGAAGACATATCAATTGAAGTCCAAATAATCTAAAATTGTCACTTTATAATGTATGTTCCCATATCCAAAACTTCATTTCTATCCCTAGTACTCTTAAAATTATCAAATTAATCACTGAGAAGAAAAATAGATTAAGAGAAAATTTGGGAATTAACCAATGCAAGACCAGACTGTAGAAGGTGTATTATTTCAACTGCCTTATACATGTCCAGTTTCTCCTTGTTCTCAGGAGACAGCATTAGAGGGGTTGTTTGTATCTTCAATATCACATGTGAATTCCAGTAGTTCTATCCATCCAAAGGATCTACCTTTGGATGGATACATACCCTGCTGGTCTTTACGACAAAAAGCAAAAACATCTGTTAAATCTCTAACCCTAGTCGGTATACAAAAATCTCGGCTTTTGAAGCTTCTTCTCAAGCTTCCTGGTTTCCATCCCCTCGTAACAATAAGGGGAATCTGTGAAGGGGTGATGCAGAGACCAGATTTAGAAAATTCCCACCAGATACAGAAAGTTGCTCCTGTCCTCTGCTTCCAGCACCTCTCCATGTGTGGATCAAAAGGAGGCAGTACAACTCACTGCATGTCATACCAGAACATTACAAAAGTCTTTACCTCAAGATCTTGCTTCACTTAAAATAAACATGATCCCATCATACAAGATGTAAACATTTTCAACCCCACTTTACAGGTAGAAAAGTTGGTATAGTAAGAATTTAAGCTGTAGTGTAACTGCATGAAACAAACACTAGTCAGATGTAGATGCAGCAACAGAACAACCAGTCTTGGAAAACAAGCGAACAGAAGCCTCACCATCACTAAATGTTTCAGTACTTGCCTAAAATAAATAGCCACACTGCTCTACACAACGAAGTTCAGAACACTTGCTTGCAGGATGTAAGTATATATATTCTAAACAGAACAGAAAGTCTGCTGTCTCCCACATTAGTCACTAGGCTTTCCCTACTCTTAATCTAACACAGATTCATATATTTTGTCTTTTCTGCAGGTCTGTCTTGTGGCTGTGGTACCCGACTTACGCTAAGCAGTATTTTCAAAGTGAACAAACCTGTCTTCAGCTTTAAAATTTGCTAGACCAAACTGGGCAAACCTGCAGGCTTACAGGAAAGATAATAATAGGTACCTGTGCAAAAGTGGTACAGAGATAATATTTTAATAGGATATGAGCCTCTAGTTCCGATTTTCTTGGACAATGACTTAAAGAACAGGTGCAGTACCAGCATTGCAACAAAACCCAACTATCTAAAAATCTTAAAGACAATGCAGCTCAAGCCAGCAAAAGATAAATTTGCTCATGGCAATATGGGAAGAAAATCTTTGTGATGTAGAAACAGATGTCACTGTACATTTTTCAGGATATGGCATTACCCACTGCTTTGTATGCATGGCTTCACCGGATATATTTAAATTATATTTCATAACACTCTCTATTATCTTCTTAATTCCGACAATATCAAAGTGAAGTTGGAATAGCATAGTCTTTATTAAAAGTTTCTATTTACATGAAAACTTACAGGAACCAATCACCCTAACTTAGAAAGTCTAGCCAAAACAAAAAGTGTTTCATTATATTAAAAAGCCTCAATTACAGAAAGCCTGACACAGCCAAGATATAATTATGATCAACATCAGACAGAGACGCATAAAAGTGAAAAGTGCAGTTAGAACATTCAGTGTGTCAAGCACAGTGAATGTGAAACCAGCTGCACAGTACTTTAATGTAATTAAACTGCACTTCTTACATAATGTAAGTTAAATAACAGGCAAGAGTGAAGTTAACTATCTGCTTTCTGGTATAGGAATGCGAGCATTGCAAGATTATTTTTAAATCTTGTTTTAAAAAGCAGCACAAGTAGCATGTCAGCAGTACCAAAAAAAAATTTCTGGTTGTCTGTCACTGGAGAGCATCCCCTTCCACTTTAGCATTACGACCCATGTGCACAAACTGAGCAGTATTTAATTATTTTTGTAGGGTGTTTGAAAAAAAGACCTAATAATCTTGTATAGGCAGAGGCAGGTTTAGGCAAAACAAAAGAAAATGCTTTTACCCCATGATATATCCACTGCCTTTTCTGCACCTTCTCAACAGTCTTCTGTTTGTGGTAGTAAAATCCTGCTGAGTTTAACTAACGCACAGAATTCGCTTCCTTTAGTTTCATTTGAATTACAAGAGAAATAAGAAAAGAATAAGTATATATTTACAGTGAGGGATATTGGCTACGTTGAACTGTTTAACTGAAGTAAGCAGGAGTAGTAGTGCCCTGATGTGGGAATTCTTATTTGTGTAGCTTTTTGCCCAGTTTCTGCAAAATATTTTATAGTCAGGTCCAAGGTTTATTTTGCCATACATGCTCACTTGTATGAGCTGGTGTCTGGTCTGGAAACACAGCCTAGAGGAGCAGAGCATACCGAACAGCCTTGGATTCCCCTCCACCCCCCAATGGGTTACCTGTCTGTTGGAGAAATGGTGTGGCTGTGTGTTGCGACCAGAAGCTGTGGCAGTAGTTTTTGAGGAACAAGAAGCCAGCTTTATTGCAGCCTAGGTAATCAGAACTGTGAAGTCACGGCACTTGGAACAGGCTTACTGCCAAAAGGACACATCCCACTTCTTGGGTCATGAAGCAAACATTGAGGTCTGCACTGCTGCAGCTATGCTGGTAATGGTATCGCGCTGTAGCTCATTTAAACCTGACTTTTATGAATCTATATACACCTCCAGATTCAAAAAAGTCACCTGAATTAATAGAAAAGTGTGATGGCTTCCAATTATAGGAAAGAAAGCCAAGCCATTAGTTTTATCACCGCTGATATTCTAGGATGTAAACAGAAGTCCAAATACCACCACGATTGAAGTCACAACCTGGGTGACCCAGAGTCATTCACACATGCTGCAGTCTACCTTAATTTAAATCTTACAGCTTTTTTTTTTTTTTTTTTTTTTTTTTCATCCACTTTTAAAACAGCTGAATATTAATAAAAGGCTAAATATATGTAAACCAGAGATGGGATTAACATTTTCCTCTACAAAAAGGTACCATAAACTATAAACCCAGAATGTTTTACATAGGAACTACATAACTGCTATGACAAAAGAGAAAGGTATTCCTTCCTGTGACTTACGAACTACATTAATGGGATTCTCTGGGAAAGACTCTAGTCCTACACTACAATTATAAAGAACAGCTATGAAAAGTTCTTCGAAGTTTGCAAAAACATATATTCATTCTCTTGGCTAGATCTTGTCCTGTATAAGTGGCAGTATAGAAGTCTGCAACTAGAAGAGTAGTAGTACAAGGATAGCTCTATGTATCAAGTCCACTTTTTTTGTTCACAGATAGCATATTACTTTCCATCATCTGTCAATCACAAGGAACAAGGGAAGTGACAAAGTCAAACTCCTTTCACTCAATTCCTGTATCTGTCCATGGGTGACAACTCTACTGGAGAAACAGCATATCCTGTTTTAAGCCCCTGTAGTCTAAACTGTGACCAAAAATTAAAACATACACATTGTGAAAATGTGTGTACATGTCCCGTCCCTGGTTACCCTTAAACAGAAGAAAATACCTTAGTCCATAAAACCTGAAAGAAATCCAGATTCTGTGTCTAAAATATTCCACACATTCCCATTAAAGAACACAGTGAAGAGACAGATCCAACCTGTTTGCTCACAGGAGTCCAAAATTGAAACGACCATATCAACTATTTTCTGTCTGAACAAAATTAGAAGTTCTCTTAACATGTAACTTATGTAAGCAGTTCAAAGACAGTTTCAAGTTGCAAGTCATGCCTTTGATTTCCTTCTTATGGATAATGAATGGATATACAGTTATGACATGAGCTTGCACTGTCTTTAATCATACTGGAGGCCAATTACAAATATGTAAAGAGCAATTCAGCTAATTAAACACGGGTGTCAAGGGACACTTTTGATGCCCAAGAGAAAACTATCAGCTGGACTCCAGCTGCCACAGAAGAAAAACAGAGATCTCCTATAGGTCCTACGATATGTTCTGGGTCTGTAAGGTTATCCTAGATGACCTGGAGCACAGAAAATGGCACTCAAGGTCTATATTTGGCAGTTAAATTACTCAAATACTTCCACTGACCTCCATATATCATCTCAAGTGAGAAACTGTTGCTCAGCATAAAAAACTGATAGTGTAACCAAAAGTGTACAACACTGGATCCCAAAATGATTCACCTTTAGCAGTGACACAGAAGATCTTGGACGCTTACAAATCAATAACAGCAGCAGCCACAGGACAGCTGCGGGTATCACCACGCAAGAGATTAAAATAAAATATTATTATCTCTCTCAAACATCAGTTTACAGGCTCTTTCATCATTTTGGTTTGGGCATATAAGTTAAATATTGTCAGAAACGTATTTCTGAAAAATCATTCACAGTGGTGTTACCTCAGTCTATTCCATAGGTTCTCTGACATAAAAAAGCACACAAGGGTAATCTTTTATTTGCCAGGAATACCTGTGCTGATTCATGTAATCAAGTAAACAATAGTAAAGGGTCCATCTTAAGTGCATGGTTCTCCTTCTCTGTTCTCTAATATAACAACAAAAAATAAAGTACATTTTAAGTATAAGAGAAGAGCAAAACTAATTCTACATAAACCTATTTTCCCAATTTGCAAACTTTCTATTACTCAATAAGATTTGTGCAAGAAATCAAGCAAAGCACTTACCGTGTCTTGAGACTTATCTTTGACATCATAGACTGTTAGTTTTATTTTAGTCTCCTCATAGATGGGGTATTCCGGTGGGAATGTCACACCAGTCAAAAACAGTGGATCTCTTGTACCCTGCGTAACACGAGCAAACATTCAGTAAGGTAACAGCTGTGCAATGTGTAGTATAACATAATGGATGTACAGAAACCACGGGCTCTTTAGAAGAGGTTAGCTTTCTACAGCAGAGAGAAGTGAATAGCTAAGTATTATCCAGCCAATAGGAAAACCAGACAACTTTAACACTTTATAAGGAAAGTTTTTTATCTGGAAAAGGTATTAAGTGCTTTTGAAACAGAGCCTGGCAACATGACTTTAAACAACATAGCCAGCAGGTAACAGTATCTGGAATACCACGTGTAATAAACAATCTTTCTTTCTCCCATGATACTTTCTGAAAGTACCACAATTTCAGTTTAGTTTAAATGAACTAAATGTATAACTTACATACACACAAAAAGTGAGATCCTCATTAAGTCCCAATAAAAGGTCTACAGAGATGCTATAGAGACTCCCTGTATTACAATAAGGTTACTGATTTGTGGGGAGGGGATTACAATATCCCTCTTAGGCGATAGTGGAGTAAGATAATGTTTGATTATACTTAATTTCCAAATATTACCAGACTTGTATCCTTAAATTTTCTATTAGGCAAAATGAAGGATTTTGCATGATAAATGTAATTTCTCTTGAAGAAACTAACTTTTCTGTGCCCCTGACTTCCCTTCCCCCAAAGCTGGAGTATGAAGCTGAAAGCCTTGACACAAAAAATTCAGGAATTTATTCAGATCTAGGACATTGTGTTGGGAAATGCATCAACTTCTATTTTAAAAATTTTAAAAATAAAAATAAAAAAATCTATTCCATCTTATGCACGACATCATTCCAGACAGTCTACAATGAAACGTCCTGATCAGATACAAGATATTTGAATTAAGCAGTTTCAGGATGGCTGGTGGCTGAAACCATAACAATTTAATTAGTAGTTGGTTGAAAATGATCACACAAAGGGGTCGTTAAATATTCTCATTGTGTGTAACAGTTAAAACAAGCCTTTGGCAAAAATGTGCGTGTTTACAATAAGACTTCCCTGTTCTCACTGAGTCTTCTTCAGTAAGTTAAGCTAGTTACACCTACATTTCCAGCTCACGCTCAATTTTCTCTGTGAACCATTTCTGCCGTTTCTGACCCTGATGCTTACAGGGCAAAGAGAAGACTAGCAAAGCAGCCTCAGACAACTTTTGCTGTAATATGTGATGCAAGTTACTAATTATTTTATACAGTCACAGACCTTACGTACACACACTCTTATCCCTAATTATAGAAGTAAGCTAATACTTTTCAAATTGCAAAAGCATCAACTTTCCAATGGAAAAAAATACAAGAAACAGGACTAAAAAAAACCATATAATACACCCACGTTCTTCTGTAACTTAAAAATACTTTACAAACTCACTGTACTCTTAATTTAGATTTACTTTGCATTGCCTTGTCCTTTCACTAGAGTAACTATTCCCTGTTTCCTTCTAGACCTCCGTCAGGAGAATCGGAGTATTCTCTGTGCCTCTACTTGAAACAACAGAGCTTTCATGAAAAGCCAAGTTCATTTCTAAGTGTTTATCCTGGTGAACAGCCAAAAGCTACAGAACACTCTTAGGTATGCTTTACTAACTGCCAGAGTGTGCTTGTCTTACCTAAGAGTACGCACTAACTTGTTTTATTTCTCATTCACTTTCTAAGCAAGAAATGAACAATTCATTAATCAACACGTTAATTGAATAAGCAAGACTCTCACCTCCACGATTTCAGTGCTTGAATACCTCGTCAAAATGTGCTCTGCTGGGTGTACCACCGAGACTTGTATAAACGTATTCAGCTTCCGATCACGGGTAGCAGCCACTAGATCCTTGCATGCTGGAGATGGTACAAAACAGAAATAGAATACTCAAAAGAAAACTCTGGGAAAACGCTGTCACAGGCACAGGACAAAGCAGACTACACTCCGGCTCCAGATTAAATCTCCAGAGACAAGCCGATTAACAGAGGAAGTCCCTTGGAAGTAACTTACAGAAATAGGAAGTCACATGCTGCAGAACTGAACTGAGATTTCGTTTCCACTAAAAATACTTGCAGCTTCTGCAAAGCTCCCTGCCAGAGGCTCATCAGCTCCAGTATATGAATGTGCATGCGCATACACACACACTTACACACACGGCAATAGTAGGTAATTTTACATAAGCACTCATTTAATTTGCCACAAAATCTCTCTTACTAGCCTGATTTGATCATCTCCTGTCTGACAATTTTCACAGTACGTGACCATTCTAAACCAGTTAAATGCTATCGGTGATTAGGTTACTTTTTATAGTCTGATACTTTATGAAATTTTAGTAGAATTAATCGGGTAAAAATCTACATACCTAAAAGGAGACAGCAAAATAACCAATTCTTTTATCAGTGACTGGCACATAAATGAAAATAATAATTGTATTCTGATATACAACGTAATTATTAAAACTCATTCTACCTACTAAATATAGGGAGTTCTTGTTTAATAATTCATGTTTATCCTGGGCTCACAGTCATGTAAGGTGACTGGGTTCGCTCTTTACACTAACACACCTCATACCTTCTCACCAAAAGGATGAAAGCAGAAAGAAAGAAAGAAAGAAAGAAAGACAGAAAGAAAGAAAGACAGAAAGACAGACAGAAAGACAGACAGACAGACAGAAAGACAGACAGACAGACAGACAGACAGACAGACAGACAGAAAGACAGAAAGACAGACAGAAAGACAGACAGAAAGACAGACAGAAAGACAGACAGAAAGACAGACAGAAAGACAGACAGACAGACAGACAGAAAGACAGAAAGACAGAAAGACAGAAAGACAGAAAGACAGAAAGACAGAAAGACAGAAAGACAGAAAGACAGAAAGACAGAAAGACAGAAAGACAGAAAGACAGAAAGACAGAAAGACAGAAAGACAGAAAGACAGAAAGACAGAAAGACAGAAAGACAGAAAGACAGAAAGACAGAAAGACAGAAAGACAGAAAGACAGAAAGACAGAAAGACAGAAAGACAGAAAGACAGAAAGACAGAAAGACAGAAAGACAGAAAGACAGAAAGACAGAAAGACAGAAAGACAGAAAGACAGAAAGACAGAAAGACAGAAAGACAGAAAGACAGAAAGACAGAAAGACAGAAAGACAGAAAGACAGAAAGACAGAAAGACAGAAAGACAGAAAGACAGAAAGACAGAAAGACAGAAAGACAGAAAGACAGAAAGACAGAAAGACAGAAAGACAGAAAGACAGAAAGACAGAAAGACAGAAAGACAGAAAGACAGAAAGACAGAAAGACAGAAAGACAGAAAGACAGAAAGACAGAAAGACAGAAAGACAGAAAGACAGAAAGACAGAAAGACAGAAAGACAGAAAGACAGAAAGAAAGAAAGACAGAAAGAAAGAAAGAGGAAAGAAACAAATGCACCATTAGCTGCTTTGCAGAAGGGAGGTGGACTAATGGGGCATGCATCGCCTCAAAAGCAAAACCCACACACCTTACATTCTTCAATAAGGAATATGCAATAGTGGGCAGTGTGATAGGATCTACCCGGTGCTTTCTGCAGTGCATCAAGTAGGCTGGGACTTTAGAAGCCTAAGAAAAGAAGAAAAGCAAAGCAAAGCCTACTGTTTCAGAGAGGCTAACTGTAAAGAAAGAGCTGAGGACATTTCCTAGGAGTCACTGCCAACCGGGAGCTTCCTCAAGTGCAGCTGACCTTTAATGTTTTAAAAGGTGAGTCAGATTATCCTCACAGCAAGCAAACCTGGTCTGATGAGAAGCCAAAGCAAGGAAAGCTCCAATACATACAAAAGGCCAACTCAGTTTGGTTTATACTTTATTTTTTCTTTGGGCTTGGACCTGCTGCTTGAGAAAATAAAGGCAAAGTTGGCAAGTTTTTTTACCGCTCTTCCATAACAGTTAAAAGGCAACAAGGAAGCAATTAAATTTAACCTTCACAGAATGTTTTGAAGTTTTTGCTTTAGCCTGAATTGCCAGTGAAATTTCTTGGTAGACAGTCTCAAACTGCCACTATCAGAGTTTTTTGTTAAAAGTGGAACAAGAATCCGTTTGTGTATGGTGAGGTCTTTATGAAACAGCTGATACGACAGCACCAGACTCGAATAGCAAGTTGCCAACAATTCCTTGTTGCTAAGGCTCACCACATTACTGAAATTAACTCTAAATATTAGCACTACTTGATATGACCTGAAGAATTATATGAGTAGATTTACTGAAAAGTGGTTACCAAAGCAGAAAAGGTTGGGCAGATACCACCTGTTTGACCTATATCCTCTCTAAAGCTGACCACAGATGCCATATTAGATCACTGAAATCTCCAGATACAGCCATTTCCCCCTGCAAAACCTGATCTTAAGCCACCACCCAATCTCTAAACGTTCCACTCTATAATCATGTTTTTAGAATACAGCATAGTAAAGCACAGTTTCAGAGGACTGGCAAGGGAGCTCACGTTCACTACCAGAAGCTGAAACACTGACAGATATAGTCAAATTTTTCACCCCTGCCACAAAGGAAGGCTAGCCAGCTCACAATTCAACAGACCTCCAAAGATGACAGGAATACACCAGAAATGAGGAGCAGAAAGAGACAGAAACCTGGGAAAAACAAAAATAAATCCCCAGGTCATCAGTGACTCTGGCAGGAGCTCTTTTAAAAAGTACTAGTGCATGATGAATAGAGGAAAATCCCCCATAAATAACAGCCTGATTTAACTTGTGGTGTGTCTCAAATAACTAGATGAGACTAATTCTTTTAGCAGCAAGAGCACAGACTTTTATCCTACTGATAAACTTTTAACAAGAGGAAGAAGATTTGCACTAAGTGGTCACCACCTTGGTGTTTCAGTGATAGTAGGGCAATCCAGTCATTAGATCATTTTCCTGTAAAAAGGCATCTTAGCAAAATGATCTTGAATGTCACTGGGTAGAGATGACGTGAAGATAATTCATCTGCATATCCCCAGTGGGGAAGATCAGCACAAAGTATCAGAGCTCTTCGGGAGATCCCAGTGCAGAAGGATAAATGAAATAAAATGAAACCTGCATTTACTTTGATGACAGAGTTATTTGTCTCTATTGTGACATTGGGCTGCTGCTGTTGACAACTGCCCTTTCAGTCATAGAGAATATTCAATAAGATTGTTGCTGACAGTAAACTGAAGATCTGGTGTGACAGAGAATTTGTCAGTTTGAGCCACAGTGCATCACTTCCCTTAAAGACAGTCTAACTAAAATGTTTAACGAAACCTAAGGACTAGTTTTAAGCTGATGCCGAAGAATAGGAGAAGTTTGTTATTTACTGTTCGCAGCCTGGCAAGTCCCACAGCCCCACACTGCATTATTGCCCCTCAAACTATTTTATCACAGAAGATCTTAGGTCTTCTCAAAGAAACAGTCACCACTCTTTGGACAAAGTGAAACATTACATGGTTGCAAAAGTCAAATACCAGCTATATGTTATGTATTTAAACACATCTGTTGGGCATCAACATACTACTCAAAGAGAAACTGATGAAAATATAAACATGAAAGGCATGCTAAGGCTCTTAGATGCAAATTTTACACAGTGAAAGTAAGTACCAACATCAATGCACTTTCCATCATAACCTATGTCCAAGCAGACCACATAATCGGTCATATTACTTTTCAATACTATGCTTGAATTAATTCTGGAAAAACTCATCAACAAAACTCAGTGAAATGAAGCAACGGCTTGTACTTACATGCCAAAAGTATATGAATCTACTCTTTGTGACTGTTGACTCAGTGTGTAAAAGCCTGAGTCATCCATTCCCCTGGTGATCCCCATCTCTGCTAAACCTATCAGAGTACAGTGAATGTTTAAGGGAGAACTGCATTAGGAACAACTTATGCTTTTATTTCAACAAAGAAAAAAGTTAAGGCGGCAGGAAGAAACAACTCCCCTACATATTAAGCAAAGAAAAAGAAGGAAAGAAAGCAAAGTAATCACTACGTGTTGGGCAAGATGAAAGGCTGCAAGGAAAAAGAATTGCTCTAAAATACATTTACAAATATTAACATATTTTACAAAATGCCGTAGCCTACGTATAAAATTCTTACCATTTAAAATGCCTTAAACCAGGTAACATTTAATCAGTGTAATCCTTCAACACTTACTTTCTAAATAAAAGCAAAGACAATATTGTTGTTTCATTTCCATTACTATTGTTGTTCTGCTACTAAAACTATACTATCCTTAGATGAATCACAGTAAACAAGTGCTCCTTCTCTGTCAGTCATGCCTGTGCGTTCCCCCATACATTCCAGTACCACTATGATGCACATAAATCACGTGAGCCGTAAACGCAAACCACACAAGTAGATGTTTGATTCTCAAGTCCTGCCACATTTAATATTTCATTGTTCTCTATGCTGCACTAACATGCTGGCTGTGCTCTTCATCCTATGTGTGCGTGTGTGTGCAAGTAAAGACAAGGGGAGAGAAAGACTGGTTACTGTTTTCTCAAAACTGGGCTATGCTGTAAACGCAGCAGAATCTTGCTTCATAGCTTCAGTGACCAATTCATAGGATCAGGGATAATTTTCTGAAAGTGTTAACTGTATGGAGGAACAGAGCACAGGAAGACTAAAAAATCCCAATGACTATATAATAATAAAAAGGGGGAAAACAAACAAAACAAAACAGAAGTTAGTCTGGAAATTCATTATAGGTCTTCCCTGAAACTATAATAATTCTGACCAGGTGTTCAGCACTGCTCCGAGCACTAAACCCACTGGAGGCAAAAGAAATTAATCTGGCTGAGAACGAGGGAGATGCAGCATCTCCCAGAACTGAAAAAGATCTA